ATGTTCCATAATCAATTTTTTTTCTTTTCTTTTCTTTTTTCAATTTTTCCAATTTTTCGGGAAAAAACCAAAAAGACTTCAGGAAAAAAACGGGAAAAAACCGTTTTTTTTCTGAATTTTTCCGGTTTTTTTCCGGGCCTTCGCATCTCTACCCTGAAGCCGACGGCCGCCTCCCTCCCCCGGCCCACATGCTCTTGCTTGACGCCCCCTCGGCTGCACGGAGGCAGGAGGGTTCAGGGGAGTTGCGCAGCAGGAGGGGAAGCGCAGCAGTGGCGCCAACCAGCGTCCTCCAGGCGCCGCGGCGGCCTCCCGGCGGGCGAGAGCGAGACGACCCCGCCCCTCGGCTGCCCTCAGGCCCCTGGCCCCGCCCCCTTCCCTGACGTCACGTCGGCCGGGCGACGCGAGGGGTGGGCGTGGCTCCCGGCGCGTCTGGCTGCGTGGCGTCGGAGGGCGTCCGGCGTCGCCGTCCGGGATGAAGAGAGCGGAGGCCGCGGAGGAGGCCGCGCCCGGGTGTGGCGGTGGCGGTGGCGGTGGCGGTGCCGCGCCGGTGTCCGGCTTCCTGGCCAAGCTCTGGGCGCTCGTGGAGGACTCTGGAAGCGACGCTGTGATCTGCTGGAGCCGGGTGAGGGGCTCGGCGGGCGCACGCGCAGCAGCAGGGGCGGCAGGAGCCGCGCGCCCCTTTGTCTCTTTCGCCGCTCCGCGGGCGGGCGGCGGGCGGGCGTCGCTTGTGCGGTGCAGAGACGGACGGGGCGTGCGGCAGGAAGAGTTGTTACGTGCAATGACCCCCCCCTCCCCCGTTTCGGTGGAGGAAGGGGATATGCTCAGGGCAGTGACTCGTGCAGAGATGCGGCAGGCAGCCTCGTGCGAAGGCAGGTGGTTTTGCCTGCATCTCAAGGGGGTGCTGCCGGGTTCACAGAGTCAGCAGACTGGCCAGGACATCCCCACCCAAAGAGACATAGCAGGAAGCCTCCCTGGACCAGTTTACTCTTGTCTTACAGGGAGTGAGTGATCATGATAAATATGCACGCGTGTGTGCTTACGTTAGTATAGTGAATTGGGGTCTGCGTGGTGCAAAAGAACGTGTGGCCTTCATATGACGCGTGTACAGGCTTAAAACTGTGCATGTAATTTCACTGCCCTAATCCTTGAAAAAAGAAAGCATTTGCATTTTGTTATGCAGGTGGGCATGCATTCTGTTGATGGGGGAGCTAACCCTTCTGTGGGATTTGATGATATGCTAGGCTAGGGGGAAGGCATGTTTTATTGCAGTGGTTTTCAGACTGCATTCTGGACAATCTTTGTTAGTTTACCTGGATTCCTCAGATTAGAAGCGTAGCCATGGCAGGACCATTGAAAGTAATGGGGAGCGGAGCTGGTGTAGGGTCCTTTCCTGACCTTGTTGCAGTGAGAGCCAAGACAACCTCATGCCAGCGTTTGTATAAAGACCCGTGACTTCTAACAGTGTGTTCCATCATCTATCACTGTCAGTGTTCAGTATTGGTTTCTCTCTGACAATGGGACACTTGCATAGCAAGCCACTTAGGTGAGCAACTTCTAACCATTTTCAAAGCTGGCCAAAGGCTTCACTTAGGAGTCATTGTCTGCCTGTTTTATGCTGGTTGGATGTGTTTTACTGGTTAAAATGTTGGTGGTACGTTTTGCCTCCTGCTCAGGGTTATGGGTCATAAGCAACAAAAATAATTTTTCTGAATGTACTGTGCTGTTTTATAAGGCTACTTTCTCAAAGCAGGTAGCCATTCTCCTCTTGAACCTGTGAATGCCCATGATTATTAGGACTGGCCTCTAGCACTGAGTAACTGCTGGCTTCGATAAACCTGTCTGCAAGTTACAGTGAGAACATTTATTTATGTATTTATTTTTCACATTTATACCCCGCCCTCCCCATAGGCTCAGGGTGGCTTACAGAGGCAAGGCAGAACCTTGCCATAATAAAAACATAATATACATAATAAATTTAAAAAAGTAGTACATCTTAAAATTCCTATATAAACAAAGTGCTCAATGATATCATAATCCAAAGATGACTGATTGTATGTCCGAGTTCCAAGTTGACAGCTTAGGGTTTCTTCCATGTTCGGATGTTTCCTCAGGGCTTCATCCAACCCACTACTGTGGTGGTATAGTGGGGGGGGGGCTGCGGCGGCTCCTACTCAAAAGCCTGGCGGAAGAGCTCCGTCTTGCAGGTCCTGCGGAACTGCATAAGATCCCGCAGGGCCCAGATCTCCCCTGGGAGCTCATTCCACCAGGTAGGAGCCGCCACCGAAAAAGCCCTGGTCCTAGTAGTGGCTAGTTTGATCTCCTTGGGGCCCGGAATAGCTAGGAAATTTTGGGCCCCGGACCGTAGTGCTCTTGGGGGAACGTACGGGGAAAGGCGGTCCCTCAGGTAGGTTGAACCCTGGCCATGTAGGGCTTTATAGGTGAGAACCAGCACTTTGAAGCGAATCCGGTACGCTATTGGCAACCAGTGCAGCGCTTTCAGCGCAGGCTGAATGTGGTCCCTTCTAGAGAGACCCATTAACAGCCTGGCCGCAGCATTCTACACCAGTTGCAGCTTCCGGATTTGCGACAGAGGCAGCCCCATGTAGAGAGCGTTGCAGTAGTCTAGCCTCGAGGTGACCGTCGCATGGATCACTGTGGCCAGGTCATCACGGTCAAGGTAGGGGACCAACTGCCGTGCCCGCCTAAGATGGAAAAAGGCGGACTTGACAGTGGCTGCCACCTGGGCCTCCATCGTTAGTGTGGAGTCCAGGAGCACCCCCAAACTCCGAACCCCAGACGCTGGCACCAAAGGTACCCCATCGAAGGTCGGGAGAGGGAGCACATGTACAATCTGTGCATAGTGCCCACTTGATTTTTCTTTATACTTGTGTTGGGTACTTCTCACGTTACATTCAACGCGTGTTACAACTTACAACTGAATGTATGACTTAAACCTATTCATCCAGGTAGTGGTCCCCGATTTCATTTTTAAAGTGAATGCATATGGGTTCTTTCTTATAAACAAGATGCATGTACATTACTTGAAACATGAACAGGACTTACGTTTTCAAAGGACTGGCCATTGCTTTATCCAAGAATGTTTTAGTTCCTCCGTGGCTCTTTCGGACGTGGAACAAACTAATTTGCTAAGTCTGCAAATAGCCATCCTGGATCACCATTTTAAGACTCTTACACTGTGCACAGGTCTCTGCTGTGCCTGCACCCACAGTGTTTCTTTTGCAGGTGAATCGTGTGGAATGTGAAAGACATCTTGTTGTTTTTCATTTGCTCCTAATGAGGAAGTTATTCTGTTGCTGCTGTTTTCCCTGAGTGAAACAGAACAGCAGGGATTTTGCGTCTTGACCCCTCCAGAATAAGTCTTGCTGAAAATACTTCTTGCCTGTGGCTAATCCCATCTCGTTTTTAATCGGTGGTGTCATTTAAACAGGAAGAAGTGAGTCTTGGTTTTGCTTTCTGTTTTGCTAATATGAAGGCTGAAGACTGCCCTAAACACAGTTTTGGGATCAGGCTACTGGAGGAGGTAATATTGAAAAACTGCCTTTCTACTCATCTGGTCACTCTGTACCTTTCAGTGTATCTGTGGGATTATCCTTGTGTTTATTATAATGACATTCTGGACTGCGAAGGCGAGATTTCTGGTGCAGTGGCCTCCGAACGAATCTTTTGGGCTGAATTCCTAAGTCCTCAGAGAAGCAGCCTTTCCTTGCTGGGAGTGGGTTCCTGAAGGATGCTTGGATCGCCCTTGCAGTAAGGAGCTGTGCATTACGGTGCAATACCAAACTACATTGCCAAGTAGCCTGTCTTTAATAAATTTATTTTATTTTTATTTCCTATATTTGTAGTCTACCTTTCTTGCTGAAATGAGGCAGATTCCACACTGTAAGTCAATGTGATCGATAGGGTGAGATATATAATAAGCAATGTACTAGAACTAGCATTACATAAATCTGCCACAAGTGTAAATGTTAAACATTATGCTGAATGCAGATAAAACGCAGAAAAATTGTGTTACATCAGTGCCTTCATTTTATAAGTCCCTCACTGAGCCATTCTGTTGCGCTGTAGCCCTATTGTCTTTATAGAAATGTCCTCCTGAACAGTTCTGTCATTCTACAAACTGTGTAGAGCAGAGATGTGGGAGACTTCCTGACTTCAAAGAGGCCATTCCATGGGGTGGGAGCCACCGTGGAGAATGAGCACCTGTGGACAGTTAAATATTCAACAAGCAAGAACCTATGAAGTCGTCTGGTGTGGCTTGGCTTGATTTCCAGCGGTTCTTTCTTTCCCGTTTTCCTTTCTTAGGGACTGTTAAGACTCAAAGGTCACAGCGCAGGGGACGTTGCTGTCAGGATGAGATGTGTACAGACCAAACACTTCCATTTAGTCCTGCCCTGTTAAAACTGTTAATGTAGGCATTTAAAATAGTTTTACAACTTGTGACTGAGCTTGCCATCACTTTCTGCTAACTAGATGGGCAATAGTTTACTTACAGTATAGTTAATATCAGGGTACAAAATTTGGGATCAGCAATAAAATAATGAAATAAAGAAAGAACAGAAGAGGGGTGAAAGGGGATTCCAGTAGAAATGGGTGAAGTCCATACTGTCCCTAAGTGAGTGCTCACGAGGTAGGTAGGTCCTGATAGAGAAGCAGTAGGGTTGTGGTTATAGGAGGTTTATCCCCAGAGTCCAGCACGGGTTCTAGACGGCATGGGAAGGAAGCCTCTGGCTTTGCTAGTGCTCTGATTGCCTGTCCCTGATGTGTAACTTTTCCCAAGATGATGTGTTTGCAGATTCCAGGACGTCAAGGAGTTACAGGGTGTGGTTGTGGATTTCCAGTGAGTTTTCATAAGTGCTCTTGAAGCTACTAAGCATGATAAATGTTGCTGATCTGCTGGGTAGATGCTAGAAGCGTGCATGCATGAAATATCAGGATTTGGAGGATGGCAAGGCTCAGTGGAAGAGCCTCTGCTTTGCGTGCCAAAGGTCCCAGGCTCAGTCATCAGCAACTGCTGTTAAAAAGATCAGGTGAGCCCCTGCCAGTCTGATCTAAGCCAGTCTAAGCAGGTTCAGGTGTGTTCACCCATGCCATTAAGTTCCTTGCGCAACAGCTTAAGCACTCCCAAGTTGCATTGGGGAGTCCTGTGAGCCGCGCCCCTTGTATTGCTCTTGGAGGGAAACTAAGAGGTGCTTTGCAGCCTCAGAAGGCTGTTTATCTTTATGCACATAATGGTTTATGAAATTCCCCAACTGTTTAGCTAGGATGGCCGAGAAGATGTTTGAGTCTTGATTAATCAAAGTGATTGGCCGATAGGACGCTGGTTCTGTGGTGTCTCGACCTGGTTTTGGGATAACGATGATCGTTGAGTCGGTCCATGAAGCGGGTAAGATATTTTCGTTTAAGATATCATTGCATACGTTAGTAAGTGGACTAATGAGGATATGAGGAAAGGACGTATAAAATTCAGCCGGGAACCCATCATTGCCTGGTGTTTTAAAGTTTCGTAAGAATCTGATGATATGAGCCTACTGATGTGTGATTGGACATTCAAGTGCTTCCCTGTGTTGGTTTTCAAGATGAGGAAGAGGGTGTTTGGTTAGT